TTGTACTACATTGGGAAGGCTACTTCCAATCCCAGCTTAGTGTGCTTTTCATTTGTCAGGATTGGCCAGCCGGAACATTGCTGGACCAGTCATTTTGAAAATGAAATAGGCTTTTTCCAGTAGTTTGGCTGAAAACTATCCCTTTCATGCATACTATTTAGGATTTGACTGATCTGGCTGGATAGTTTGGATTAAAAGTGAAATTCTCATTACTATGTGAATAGTCTGGCCAGTCAGTTCTGACAAATGGAAAGCCACCTTAGACTGACAGGGATGACAACTATTGATGAAAAGGCATGTGAATTGAAACTGTACACTACGTATGAGAAAAATAAATACAGTTCGGCATAAAAAAATATAAGTTGTACTAGACTGGGAAGGCTTCTTCCAAGCCAACTGTCAAAAAAAAGGTTGGGTCCTAAAGTTACATTTCGGGATATTTGGAGATCAGAATAAGCTACTAACTCAATAAAATCAATCAAATAATATTAGAAACTCATGTGAGTTTCTGATAATATAAAATAAATTCCCTTCAGCAGTTATTTTGGCTTATAGAGCGTTTTCACTCACGTGACCAGCATCTATGCAAATTTATGGGAACAAAAGAGAGAGTTAGCATAAGAAAAGAGTTCAACTCCCAAAGGATTAGTTTGGGACACCAACATGGCCGCCGTTTTATTGTTTTGGAACACCAATATGGCCGCCGTGACGTCATGCGAAAACGCTCTACTGAACGCAAGAATTTCATCACGTGTAAGGTTCTTTAGTTAACACGTGCACCGTGTAAAGTTCTTGAAATTGCAAAGTCGTGAGTGATTTAATTTCAGCCTCAGATGAAATACGTAACTGAATGATTAATACAGCAGAATGCTAAGGATGGAATCCCATTGAACATGGAATTTCATATGAAATCATCATCCTTATTTGCAATCCCATAAAACGGTACAAAACTTAAAAGAACGTCGGAAGGACAAAACTTGTTCTAAAAGAACATGAAGTGTTTTTTTTTTAAGGAGAAAAGACCAAAAACAGTCCACCACAAGAGATGACTGCTTACTAAGCAAAAAGGTCACAAACAATAGTAATACCAGTTTGCAATTATGGAAAAATTTCGATGCCCATCACGTCATAAAACACAATTGATCGTGTTTTAAAAATAATTATTTTAACCTATTCTAATATATGTTATTTAGCAATTCTTACTGTGAGGCTGAGTATGATGTGAAGAATTATGCAGATCGAGCAGGGGCGGATCAAGGATTTTTTTTAGGAGGGGGTGCACTCGTCTCTTGCTCTACTTCAACACCAATAAACCACATAGTTTTTTTTTTTGGCAGAATACCAGTTGTATCAGAAAACCGCAGGTCATCTCGGGCAGCCCCTGCACCCTCCCTTCTAGATCTGCCCCTGTCGAGGAGGATGTTATCCACCTGTCATAAGAAAGCCGAAATAATTGTTTTATTGTTTATTCAAAATATTTCAAAGTTCTTAACAAGCTTACCTCCTCGTAACTTTCTATAAAACTTTGGCCTATTTCTCAGCATGGTTTCAGGATATAAAGAGATGTTTTTCCTTGCAGATTCTCCCCAAAAAGTAGATAACAACCACCAAGCAAAATGTTTTGCATATTCTTGCATTTCTTCCTTTCAGTTTAGTCAGAAATTCAGCTATTTCATCTTCGAATAGCGATGAACGCCATCTTGTTTCTTAGTTTGCTCATGATTAAATAGGTAGGATGCAGCGCCTGGAAACGAGGTTGATCGATGGAATACTGTAATTTATACCATTGAATCAATGGTATATTGCCCGCATCTTCCCAAAATGGTAAGCGCCAGTTGGTTATTTAACAATTATTCCTCGAACCCAAATCAGCTCTGAGTCAATAGCCCATGAGGCCGAGAGGAATAATAGCAATAATATTGTTTTAGTAAAATCCAACTAGTTGGTAAAAAACATTGAGACAAGACAACTTTAGCTACCAAAACGCGATTCAGCCGCCATTGTCTTGGTTTTCAAAGCTGGGGCTTTTTGCTACTAGTGGGCCATAACATATAGCCTAGTAGTAGCTCAACCAATCAGAACACAGCTTTGATAATAGATCACTAGCTGGATTTTACTAAGAAGAATTGGCCAGGGGATTGTTGCCAATCAGGTTAGTATCTCATGTAAGACTCCATAATATGTCCCGAATATATAGAATGTCAAGAATACTTAATTTCAGCTGATGCAGTACTGAATACATAGAATAATATAGAACCGAATATATAAAATGTCAAGAATGTTATTTATTAATCTCCCCTTGTTTCCCGTATTCCCTTGTGTTCCTATGTTTTTCCATGTATCCCCGTATATTTATGTTTTCCCATATCTTCCTATATTTCCTTTTGCTTCCCCCTGTTTTCCCATGTTTACCTATGTTTTACCCTGTTTTCCTATGTCTTCCTATATTTTGTTATTGTTTTCCTATGTTTTCCCCTGGTTTTCTATGTTTTGCCATGTTTCCTCTTGTTTCCCCTGGTTTTCTGTGTTTACTCCTGTTTTTGTATGTTTACCCTGTTTTCTTATGTTTTCCCCATTTTCACCTCTTTTCCCATGTTGTCCCTGTTTTCCTATCTTTTTCCTTGCTTTCCTATGTTTCCCCCTGTTTTTCTATGATTTTCTATGTTTTCCCATGTTTCCTCCTGTTTCCCCGTTTTTCTATGTTTCCCCCTGTTTCGTGTGTTTTCCCTGCTTTCCTATGTTTTCCCCGTTTCCCCCCGTTTTCCAATGTTACCCATGTTTCCAGGTTTTTCTGTGTTTTTCTTTGTTTTCCTCTGTTTTTCTATGTTTTCCCTTGTTTTCCTACGTTTTGCCTTTTTTGCCCCTGGAGAAAACATAGGAAACCAGGAGGAAACAAGGGAAAACATACCCTGGGTACCAGAGGTTCTTCTTGCCTGAAAAAAACTTTTTGCGCGGGTCACTATAAAGACTTGACAGAAACCGGAAACCGCACTAGCAAAGTCTCTGCCACCCAGGGTAGGGAAAATATAGGTAAACAGGGGAAACATAGGAAAGCGGGGGAAATATGGGAAAACATAGAAAAACAGGGGAAACATAGGCAAAAGGGGAGAAACAGGGGAAAGCATAGAAAAACAGAAGAGATATGGGAAAACATAGAAAAACAGGGAAAAACTTAGGAAAACTGGGGGAAAGAGAGAAAACATAGGAAAACGGGGGAAAACAAGAAGAACCGTAGGAAAACAGAAAAACAGGGGGAATCATATAAATACAAGGGTAACTAGAAAATAAGGAGGAAAACAGGAAAAAATAGGAGGAAACATATGAAAACAAGGGGTAACGGGAAAACATGAGAAAACAGGGGAAAACTAAGGAACTGGGGAGAACATAGGAAAACTGGGGAAAACATTGGAAAACTGGGGGATAAATGGGAAAACATAAGAAAACATGGGAATACAGGAGAATACAGGGAAAACATTCGAAAACAGGGGAAACAAGGGGAAAACAGTAAATATATTTGAGACATATTATGGAGTCTTACACGAGAAACTGACCACCAATCAAAACTGGCAAGATATTTTGAATGAATAGTAAATCATTATTTACATAATATTATACATTATCATTCATTCAAAATATTTCTCACTGGTTTAACCTCTCCACCCAGCTAATTCCTATAACCAGCTACCATACACCAAAATTGGAAGATGTTTGCTCATAATGACAAAGAAGGGTCACTTTTGCAGTTAATTGTTAACAGTAGTTTTGGTAGAACTGGAAAAGAAGGGAAAATGTTTTTTATTTCACATGTTTTTCGAAGAGGAAATAGCCTAAAAACAAAGCAAGATTAGCAAAAATAATACATGACCGATGACAATTGCTATTTGAAGAATATCGGTTAGACTTTACATCCCTCTCTATTCTGAAATTGCCCAGGAACAGACAAAAGAATTCAGGAACTTGACATTGATCAGAGCAAGTTGTTAAGTCTGGAATATTTTGAAAGGATAATAAAACACTTATTGGATTCAACTATTCAATGATATAAAGAATTAAGCAGATTTGGAGGGTATTATCCACCATGGCTGATAACACTCTCCTTGATCTGCTTTCGCATTGTACTCAGCCTAATATCTAATAACTTATTGATTATTATCATTACTATTATTGTTATTATTATAATTATATCAAGGGTGACAAATTACTCCTTAATTTCGGCCCGAAATTTCAGTGCTAATTCATAATTTCTAGTGTAAAATTACAAAATTGCCATGGCAACGTTCCCACTTGTCAGTTCTACAGATGGCGACAAAGGTTTAAAAGGTTATGAATGAAGATGCCAGGGCCTTAAAAGACGCTTTAGAAAACCTAAATACACGAAAGAGCACATCAAGAAGGATTCTATCAGGTACATGTATTTTGCCGCAAAAATTCTGAAAATTATGAACTTAAGCCAAAATTTAACCTCTAAAGTTTTCAGTGCCAGGAGTTCTCGATCAATAATCAATTTGTTAAACATTGTGAGCGTCATTTGTCATCCACGATATCAATAGGTAATCAAATGGTTTCCTCATGAAATTAGGGAATAATTTCACTTGCATTTTGCCCAAATCATAATAATTTGGACAAAACGAGCATGAAATTATTATTTCCTTAATTTAACTCGTCACCATTTGATTATTTACTGCACATACTTATTGTCACCATTATTATTATTATTATTTGCAATCATAACACAAATTAACAAATCAACCACAATTTTCCATCGTCTGCACTCTTATAGAGCATGGACGTGATGTTAAAAATGTTCAAAACTTGTGTACAACAAGCTGCTGGTGAGCAGTTTCATTGCAAAGTTTTGAACATTTTGTGGCATCATTCCTGTGATCTATACAAAGATTTTCTTTGATCTAAAAGAGTGTAGATAACAGAAACTAATATTGTTAATATTATTAATTCAGCATTGAAATTTTTCAATCCTTAACTTTACCAAAGCCGGCCCACTATCCAGGTGAATCGAAAATTGGACGTTGACATATTGGGCACGTGTGACTATAAAACAAACAAAAAAACACACTTTCACTTACAAGGCCACACTTCAGAAATAGTAGAGAATTCATCAAGCCTCAAAGCACACCAGTGCTGTTAAATACTAGCACTTTACTTACAACAATTAATCAACCATTGCAAAGAAAATAACAAATTCATTAAAGGCCAGTTTACATGATAGGATTTGCCACCAGGATCTTTGGCACCCAATTTCCACATTAAACTTACGTGGCCTTTTCATATAATATAGGTAGGCCAACATAAAAATCTCTCTCCCTGACTTATTTTGAGGGCAGAGGGTTGCTGTTCACAGGCTGTTAAGGAGCTTAACTCATTTCCCCCTGGTCCAAAATTGATGAAATTTACTATGTTCAATTAAAAAAATATATATCTCAGCAGGTATTTACAGCAGCATAGAAAGCTATACCTCATTTGAAAGGGCAGAAAATATCCTTTCCAGAAAAAAATTTCACTTTATAGCAACCCACAATATTTCATGAAAAACTTAACAAACTTTTGTATTTATTAAAATATTATTATGCATTCATTCTGACCGAAAAAGCAATTTTTGCAACATATTGTATTGTTTGAGGAAAAAATTTAAAAAAGAAGTTTTTCTTTTATGTGTGAGCAAAACAATCCGCTTATGCGCCGTAGATAGCGGGGAACACATAAGTTACTATCACTTCTTTTTTATGACACCATCAGGTTATAGATCCAAATTAGTTAAATACTCATTTGCACACAGTAATTCAACACTTAGCTCGACTTATTTACCACGGACGGATGCCACAAAACTGTAATTTTAGTGACTTTTTACAACCAATTTAAAACTCTGAACTCAGGAACATCAATTTAAATTTGGTTAAATGTAATTTAACTAAGTTAACCACCACGAGCTTAGCGGTCAAGCAGTCCACAAGCTTAGTGGTCAAGTGGTTCATAAGCTTAGCGGTCAAGCGGTTCACAAGCTTAGCTGTCAAGCAGTTCACAAGCTTAGCAGTTAAGCGGTCCACAAGTTTAGTGGTCCACAAGTTAAGCAGTCAAGCAGTCCACAAGCTTAGCGGTCAAGCGGCCCCCAAGCTTAGCGGGCATCCAGCAGTCAATCCCATAACTGCAGGCTCACATGGTTTGTGGTAGCTTTCTACACGGCTAGGATCTGCAAGTTCTTCATTGAACGTTTGTGCAGTGGTCTGTGGAGCGGTTCATTTAGCGTCTTCCCCCCACTCCCATCCCTATTTTTCTTCCTTCCACTGTTTCATCAGTGTGACAGGTACCTAGAATGGGGGCTCATGGCTGGGTTGTGGGGATTTGCCAGCCGTGGGTGCAGTTTTTTATCTGGCCACAATGGAAGCCCCTGGGTATCCCAGGCACCCACCTACCACTTAAGCGAGGCAGTTGGTTAAAGACATATTTCAGGAAAAAAAGCAGGATTTTTGGAATTAACAGCATAACTGAGATGCATCTCATCATACTCAAAAACATGTGGCTGGCAGCTTTCTTCTGCGAATTGAGACGCAGAAGATTTTCACTGATCCTTCGTCTCAATTTTTGAGGTAATATTCAGTAGCTGATAAACCAAATGGCATCCAAAGCTATTGCAAAATGTATCAACCGTCGAAAAGTATTTCTTGATCACTAAAAGCATAGTAAACTTTTCCCACATCGCCAGCCATTTTTAATTTTTCCCATTTTCAAAAAAAATGCTGTGATTAGCATATTCAGGGTCAAGAGCTGAAACTACCCAGGTAAATGGCTCAATCTGTCTATTTCCTGCGTGCCAAACTTGGAAATGATCGGAAGTAACGCACATTTTTGGGAATTTTTTTCCCTGATCTCTAAAGACAGATATTTATAGAATGAGTTAAGCTGGGTAATTTGAAGCACAGTCATTATAAAGCATAAGTAAACTGGATGAGTGACATTGTGTACTATATAAAGCAGTGAACAAGATAACTGAGACAGAAAAGAATGTAATGGTAATGACTTACATGCCATTTTGTATCATAGTGATGGCACAATCTTCATGGATCTTGTGTGCACATGGTAATATCTGGCACCCACTGAATGCATCCAACAACTTAAAATAATAAGGAAATTAATATTACAATATTATTACAACAGCCTTCAGCTGATAGGAGTTGAACCAGTTGGCTATTTGTAAGCGTGGCCAAGGATTTGAACCTGGAACTACCAAGAACAAATCCAGCCAGTGGCCAGGGCACAACTTGAACCTGGGGCCTCCGGATTACAAGTACAGCACTCTAACCACACAGCCACACAAACTCCCAGAGTCCTTTAATGAGGGAAAGGGGAAAATGTCCAGATGGGGTTCCTTCAATTCTTGTGCTACCCATTCTTCTGCTCAGTTACACACTCTTAACTGTTCAATTAAAATCCTATTTTTGCCCATCTCCAGTGACATTTCTTATGTTTGTCAGAAGTAATTTAGTCTATTATACAGCTTCACTACGATACAACATGCATGCCACAAGGCCTACTGCATCAGCGTACACAATACACTTCATATATAGAAAGGATATTTTAATGGCCACGAGGAGATACATTGTTCGAAATTTCTCTTCAAGAGTTGAAAATATTTCCAAGTGAGCAAAGCAAAGCTCACTTGCAAAATATTTTTTTAAAGTCAAAGAGAAATTTTGTATCTCCAAGCTACCAAGTAATGTTCTATTATTTTATTTTATAAAGACCAATGAAATTCACTTTAATAGTTTCTTGCCAAAATAGGTGCAATTTATCATGTAGCCATAGCAACAGTGATATTTCCACATGATAACATGTTATTTTCTCATGTGTAGATATCACGTTTTTGTGCAAAAGCTCACCAAGCTTGTCTTTCACTGGTGTTTATAAATATATGTTTACATTTTTTATTGTTTTGTTCAAAAATGCTACCCAAAAGGAGACAAGTGATGGATTGATTAATGGTGGCATTTCTTGTGATTTCGTCACATATATTATTTTGTTAAAGAAAATCTGGGGTGTAGCGTCCATTTATTTTTTGCACTATGTTGGTGTTTTTGTGTTAGTATAATTCCCATTACCCTTTTATTATTCCATAATTCTGATGGCATCACTGGCCTTTTTTTTCCCCTCTTAACATTGTACCTTATACCAACAACACTAGAGATGGGTAAAGTAAACAAGTAACTACTGCATATTCCTATGTATTAATTGAAAATGTCTTGCGGAAAACGTTGGAAATGGCATTTCCAAGACCCTAAATTTTAAAATTTTCTGGGGGAACATGCCCTCCAGACCCCACTAGGCTGGGCCACCTTGGGTGCTACAACTTTTGTTCCCCACATTGGTACACCCTCAAAATCTCACGCTATGCCCCAGAAAATGCTTTCAAGAAATTGGAGAAGTGGAGAACAGAAGAGTCACGAGATCATGTGAAACTTTACAGTGTACAGTTCTGTTCAAGATTTGACAAATTGTAGTTTATTTACAGTAGTTCTCTACTCTTCAAGAATCAATTTCATCTGTCATTGAAAGTCAAAGTCAGTCCCATGCAATCCATTCTAGAGCTGAATTTAACGAATTAACAGTAATAACATAAGTGTCATGAAAAATATTTCAAACTTACTCCTGAGCATTCACAGCACTCATCTGGTTCACACAAGTGTGTTTCCTCTTGTGGGTCAAGACATCTGTTACACATCGCACAGTTATGGGTAGGAGTCTTTCCATTGCCTTCCCCATTCTAAGAGAAGGAAATACAGTGAAAATATGTTCTCAAAATGTGATACTTTCTCTTAACTATGAAAAAGAAAAACTGAAGATAATTTTATGCAGCTGCTGATTTGATCTACTATATCGTGAGCCACCTGTCAAGCCAGTTTACAGAAACGCACCCTCAGTAAATTTAAAGCATAAGAACTAAGTGTAATAAGTCCCAGATCATGACTGATAGTTTCCCCAAGTCCTTTACTTCTACCACCTGTATACCTTTACTAACAACTAATGACCAGGTGACGATCAGTGTCACTGGATCTATTTTTGCGAGTAGATTGATCTGCATCTTCCAAACCTGGTAAGCGCCAGTTGGTAATTTAACAATAATTGTTAAATTACCAACTGGTGCTCGCACCCGAATAGGCTGTGAGTCCATAGTCCATGAGGCCGAAGGATGAATGGGCTTATTGACTCAGAGGCCATTAGGGTGAGAGGAATAATAAATTGTTTTAGTAAAATCCAACTAGTTGGTCAAAAATATTGAGACAAAGAACCTTTAGCAAGCACAATGCAATTCAGCCACCATTTTTGTTTGGTTTTCAAAGGCGATGCTTTTCGCTACTAGTGGGCTATAACATTTTGCCTCGTAGTTGCTCAACCAATCAGAATGCAGCATTGATAAGAGACCCTAGCTGGATTTTACTAATGGCTCATATATCATGATGGCTAAGCCAATAGGAGCTCTAGAATTGCATTATCCAACGATTCAGTTTTTAATAGCATTTATTACCAGGGAGACTTTAACAGTATTATTTTTACTTTTAGTGAATTCTAAGTGGCTTTTAATTAATGTTATTTCAACTACACTTTGACCACATTAAGATTAAGAAAACAAATTAAAAGTACTTTAAGTTGCTTAAAAGAAAAATAACAATACCTGTTGCTCATGCTGATAGCAAGAGCACTTGAAGTGAGTGGCATGACCAGCTTTATCACAAACGTTTGAGTGGCAATAAAGACAAGGATAGAACTTCATACAGCAAGGGAACCAGAATCTGCAATGCTGTGGACTTGCAACGACTGTTTCTTGCTGGGGTCTTCTCTCAGCTTCCTGATTCTCCCTTTCTTCTTCATTATGTCTTCTTTCCCTAGTAACTCTCTGTTCTCTTCTCAACTGTTCCTCCCTTTCTCTTTCTTGCAGAACTCGTTCAATGAGAATGTGGCTTGTTGCAACACAGCGTTTCAGAGTAAGCATTTGCTGGTCATCTGAGGACTCTGAATCGTTACACAGGCCACCATTGGAGGGACTGCCATTTAACACTGGGATTTCACTATCAGAACTCTGATATGGACTGTCACAACCGGTGTTGTCTTGCGAGTGTCTGGCTAAAAAACTGGGATCTATGCCATCTCTATAAATGACTGGGAGCACAGGCTCTCCCTGCACCGCTGGAACTAGTGATCGCTGGATCTGCTTTGGTCTGGCACCATGACACTCCCATGAGCCTGGTGGTTGACTACTAACACCAGCAGAAGATGTTGATAATTGAGCACCTTCTACAGAATTGTGCAAGGAAGGTGTATCACTGCTTATTTCACTTCTATTGTCAGGAGAACTAACTCTTGACGAAATCCGGCTGTCATCACTTGTTGATAAAGCATACTCTTCATCACTACTCTGAAACTGTTCACGATTTCTTGACGAGCGCAAAGAAGTTTGTTTTTGCAAATGCCGCCCTCTGTCATGGGTGTCTAGCAGTGTATCAGAATCACTGCTTTGTGAGTCAGGAAAGCTTGCATCTTCACCTGGTAGTACATGATGTCTTCTAGCTGACAAGCTATGTCTGGAAGTACTAGCTGTATCACAAATAAAAAGAAATATAATGGTAAAAAAAAAACATTACAAATTAAAAAAGAAAGTGCTTTTTATGTAAGACGATTAATATAACAGCTGGGATTAAGCCCAGAGCCCAGTGGGCTCCCACTTCAATATTAAAATACAAATTTATTTATCTTATGAAGCTTAAAGAATACGGACAACGGAAAAGTATAAATGTGATTTCATTTTACTTTTTTGCTTGCATTTGCAAGCTTTCACCATAAAGTCAAATTTTGTTATAGTCTTATTATTAGCTTGATCAATTCTGTCTAGTCACCAAATATATTATTCTTGAAGTAGTCAAGAAGTCAATCTGACACACTGCATTTTACTAGCAAATCTAACAATACTCAAGTTCTAATCCACTTGTTGAAATTAAAATCCTAGAAAAAAAAAATCACGCATTATTGGTAGTGATCAAAGTATTCTCCCCACTCAAAAAAAAAGACACTAGCCTTAATACACTCTGAGCATTGTCCAAGAAATTAACATTAAAAGGCAGCATTATCATTAACATACTAAAATAAATGGTTAGAATGTGCTTGCGATCACAATTTTAGGATACATGCCATTAAACCGAAATTTACCTTGTCCTTCTTCTGCCTCTTTTAAACGTACAGCTTTCAGCTTTGCTGCAAGGTCATCACGATTCACTTCCACTAGTAGCTTCACTATATAACTGACTGGAAATTTTCCATCTTTTTCTAATGCTTGAAATAGTTCATAGCCTTTCGATATCTGTGAAAGTCTATCATCACTGATTTTGCTTTTGGCCAGAAACTTGATCTTTTTCACCTCTTCTTTTGACAATAAACTGGAGATCGCAAGGAGTAATTTTAGAAGGGTAAAACCTGTAAAAATACATACGACTTTATAAATGCCTGTTTCATCTCAGTTGACCCTACGCAAAAAGCATAGAGGAACTTTTGCAAATTATCTTTAGTACCCAGCAAAAGTTTGGATGAATTTTTGTTTCTCAAATTTGTTAGCTCAATGGACTATAGTCATCCGGCATAGGCAATGAGTCCTGAGGCCTAAACAAGTGACAGTCTATATTATGAAAGGAAAATCGCTCCCCCGATCCAGTAATCTGGGACAGTTGCAAAAAATTACCATTGGTTGCATCTAAGCATGGACACAAGACAAAAAAAAAACATGTTCTTATAGGACCTCACTTTTTAACTGGCTGATTTTTTTATAAAATGCATATTGCACCTTGCCACTGAACTAAATTGCAAGAATATTCAACTCCTATGATCTGTTTGTGTCTTATTTCCCATGCCAATGGCGATTGGCTTTCAAAGATTTGAGAAACATGTGGTCATCTCTGTGAGAACAGGGTTGAAACAAAAAATTGCAACCATTTTTCGAGGACCAAATAAGATTTTCAAGGACCACCTACTAGCTAGGAATTATACAATTTCACAGATTGTACAAAAATGCACATTCCAAGTGTATTCTAATAAGGCTTTAAGGCTTGAACTGTTTGCTTCACCAGCTTCTCTACACTTTTCAGTTCATTTGTCTTAAATTGATAGTTAATTAATGCATAAAACATTGAGCACTTTGCGTAAATAACCTTTAAATTCTGTAAGTTATGATTTATTTTCTGTCGTGGTCAAACAAAAAGTATCAAAAACCACTTTCCAGGCCACTTCATTCAAAGTTGAAGAAAATCAAGGACTTTTCAAGGAAAAATGGAATTTAAGGACTTCCCCTAAAATTCAAGGACTTTTCAAGACTGTGCGAACCCTGGAGAAGTAATTTGCCCCCAAAAAGTTGAACATTCCTTTCTGAAGGTTTGGACCCCCCAATTCAAACTTCCTGGAACCGCCCCTGAAAGGGTAGGGATTTTACTACTTTAAATATATAAAAGGGTGGGCAAATCTGCCATTTGGGTCTGTGAAAGGGCTCAAAAGCGCTAACAGATGAATTTTATGGCTTTATAAAGTTGAAAAAAAAATTATGTTTTTGTGATTGATTCCTATTTAAATGACAGTGCATTTACAGCAGTTGAAAGGGATGCACAGTTCTAAATAAGGTATGAGAAAGGGGTACCATTTGTCAATAAAAGGTATACAAAAGGGATGTACAGTACAGGCCATGGGCATTAAAAATAAAACACAAAAACAAAAACAAACAAACAAACAAACAAAAACTATATATAAAAGTACAGTAGGTAAAGGAAAGCAAAAGGGGGAAACTGAATTTCCATATTTAACTGCCCTCCAAAACTAAAAGATAATAGAATTAAAAATAGCATATCTAATATAATTATAACTGTACACTGTGTAAGAAAAAAAAAGAAAGAAACCAAAGGAACTACTTAAATAATTAACAGGAAAAAAAAAGAAAATCCACATATATATAATTACAGTAAATTTGACAATAAAAAGTACATTTGACAATGAAGAAGACTTAAAACTCCCAAATTGAAGTGAACAGGGTTGATAAAAAATGGTTAATAGTTAACAAAATAAAAAATGCCGTACTTTGTATGTCTGAACTGTTTGAGCTTGATGACGACTCATAATCTGTTTCCACTGCAGCTCTGACGCCATCATCATCTGATCCTTAAAGAAGAAATGGATACATTTAAATACATTAATTCTTACTGCTTAATCTCAAAATCCATTCTGTTGAATTATATGTCAGAAAAAAGGAAAGTTCAAGGTCTTAGTCCATCAAATTATCATCTACCCTATATCCATTTCTTTGAATTTCAAGTAAATAAAGGGTAAGTTTTATAGGGGTCGGACATACTTTACATTATAAGGGAGCTTAAGCAATGACGATGGCGACGGCAGCGGCAACGGCAAAAAGGCAATAGGTTTATATTAGCAAAACAACAACTTTGCATGTACATCACTCTTTCTAATGCATTTCTTACTGTCGCTGCACGACTACAACGTGAAAGTGCCTAATTTCTCATTTTGTGTAGGACGTGAACACAATGCAACGACTTTATTTTTCTTTTCCTGAACTTTGATACAGTCTTTTAGAAGTCATCTCTAGAAAAAAATTGCCAACATATTTAATGACGAATTGAATGAGATAGAATAAGCACAATAAAGTTTTTCGGCAGTACAACTTCACTTTTTAAGTGACGTTTCTGTAGACGTCGCGGTCATTGTTGCTTAAGCTCCCTATTACCAAACCAGCAGTGAGGAGTTGGGAGAGATGGCTGTTTTTGCAGGCCACTTCAGGCAGACTATTTGTAGCATGTAATCCTACCTCATTGCATTGAGTCGTTGGAAGGATTACCAATGAACCCTAACATTTGATCAAGATTTCAAGGAAAATGAATTACATTTGTTTGGAGCGTGAACAGGTTGGTCGATAGAAAATATTAATTTGTGAATCAATTTTTTAATTATGTGTGAAACATAAACTACTCAGTTTTGGAACATGAAGAAATTTTAGGAATTATTCATTACACGTGAAAATTGTCTCAACGTTTTAACATGAAAGCATTTTGCATAGGTGTATAGGGGACTCTCATTATTGTTGTCAGTAAGTATTTTGTCAGTCACATTTTACCAAAAAACAAAGGAAATACAACCTCTGACTTTCCAATAATGACAAAATTCCCCGCAAAAATTGTTGTATTTACCAGGCAACTAATGAAATCTTAGTGACAGCCCCGGGGGGGGGGGGGGTACTGCCATATATGGGCTATATAGGTATGTGCCGCTGTGAAGGGTATGGTTTTCAAGCAGTTTACTCTAGGATAGGGTATATAAATCAGAGCGTTTGCCTCTAGAATAGGGTATCATTTTTCAGGAAACTGATCAGTTGGTTGAAGATTTTATCTAGACTAGGTACACAGCTACTCTAGGATAGGGGATTTGGGGAGTTTACTCTAGTATAGGGTATCATTTTTCAGGAAACTGATCAGTTAGTTGAAGATTTTATCTAGACTAGGTACACAGCTACTCTAGGATAGGGGGATTTGGGGAGTTTACTCTAGTATAGGGTAGCAAAATTCAGCTGAACTAGCTCTGGTAAAGGTTAAGGGTTCCAGGCTCCCAGCGGCACATCCCCACCCAGAAATTCCTAAAGTGCCCCCCCGGGGTGACAGCCCTGCATGGTAGAATCTCTGAAGATTCTACCATGCAAAACCAACATTATATACCATCAGGAAGCCTCTGTTCCAACACTTCTTGTTCATGATCATCATCTGTAGCTGCATTATACCCTTCAGCATAAATTGGTGAAGCACTACTTGCTGCCAAGTCTAGCCCTGTCATGTGAGATGCCAGATGAGGATTGGAAAGTGAGCCAGAATGGTTCCCTGCATCTTCAAAAGCAAATATACATCAATATATGACAAGTGTTTAGACAGTTTGTAAACATTTAAGCATTTTTGAAAGGAGATTATAACAAGGCCCACCACAAGGATGACTGAGAAGATCCAGACACAACCTTAAACAACAGCAACAGCAAAGAAAGACAGAGGAGTGGAGAAAGCAGAAATACCGCCCACAGCTGGTTCTCCAACACCCGCAGAAACAACAGGTGAAGACAGTGAGGGCCAGAAGGAACGATCTTCTACAAAGAACATGAACAAAACCTCAAAACTTGAGATGGCAGGGAACTAGGAAATCCCCTGCATAACTACAAAACTATTATTTGCACATTAAGACAGTTACTGTTTGATGAAAGAGAATAGGAAGCAAACAAAAAAGAAAAAAAAAAGACAACTTTCTTGAAGCACAATTCATGATATTAGGTATAGTTGAAGAGATAAAGGTAGGTTTAACTACCAGATTATTTGGGTGACCATCATGAACATTGAATCCATACTAATTACAGAGTCAATATTATATAACTGTTTTGTTTGATCAAAAAGGGAAAGATGTTACCATATGTGATCAGTAGAAAAGAGTCTCAGGTTTTGGATACACTAATATACGTAGACTGGAATATTACATGTCATGTCTGTACTGTGTTGGTTCTATTTAGCACTGAGGAACAGGTTACTTTGGCGGGATAATTTTAGATGTTGAGTGAGAGACATTTTTTTAAAAAACGCAAATATATCAATTGGCTTTCAGCTGAGAACAACACATGTAACATTACAGGTATTAGAGAGAAAGCACAGTTCAAAAGAAAAATAGCAAGTAGGTGTACATTGCAATGTGATCTTTTAAACTTCATCCCCCTGTGGATCACTAATAAAGATTAAAAAATTGATATATAAAATTCTTAATTTGCTGACATTGTAAAAACGTTTATTGATAGAGAATAGGAAATATGCAGAGAGAAAAAAGACATCCCGTACGAACCAATAGGCAAAGTAAAACAAGTCTCATGATACTGTTTAGCTTGAAGTGACATGGCTACACTGAATCGAATGGATTGCATATCTGACACAGTGAAATACATGCAAGACGTGATTATAAAGACCAATAGACCTTTTAAACTGTTATGGTTAACTTTCCCAATTAAAGCATGTGATCTTCCCATGGGAATTTGTGTTGTCTTTTCGTGAATCATACATTCAATGTTTAAACCTGTGGGTAATGTGTGCCCATGTATAATATGCACTCTTTCAATTTTAGGAGGAATATAGCCACACAAAACTGTCTGTGTATCCCTATCCTCACTCTCATTATTTACAAATGGTTTCTGTATCTTAACCCACTTGCCCCTGAGCCGCCCGTAACTGAACTGCTTGTGATGTCATCAGTTTTAACAGCCAAGGGCAACTTTGTCTGCTAACATGTGCAGGGTGAAAAGATCTTTCAAACCATAGCACAATTCAGTCAAGGAGACCACAGAACAAGGCAAAAAACTATGTAATATTGACCCAAAGATTTGCCTGAAAACCTTGTTTCACCAACCACCTACCTTTCCTTTCATCTAATCCTAAAATCATAAAAGCTCTCCCAAAATCCTTTTCTCATCAACATGAAGCCTACTAAAATAATGCCCAGCAAGAAAAAAAATAACACAAGAAAAGTAAAAGAAGAGGGGGAGGAAAGAAAGCGAAAAGAAAATGTCAAGACTGCTGTGTCACTTTTAAACCCAAAAACTATCTAGAAATTTTTATTCTGCACATGCTTGAACATTACAAGCTGGTATATTGCATGTGGATCAGAAAGCCGCCAAATGTAGGACCTGCAAACAGCTTTGTAGTAAGTTTTAACTCAGAAAACTCTTTATAGTCAGACAATGACTAGAAAACTTCTCGATTAGCTTCAAAACCTGTTTTTTGGCAAATTTCTCATAGCAATTGGGTTAAAATACCTTATTTATTTGATTAAGTGCCCAACCTAGAATAAGCGCCCATCCTGTAGGCTCAGTAAGGGAGGAAAAGTTAATAAGTGCCCAGCCTTGAAACGCCCCCACCCCACCCACCATCCTCCCACACAAAAAACTGAACTGGACTTTAAGAGTGCCTTAATGCAAAATTACAAAGCAGTTTTTTGAGTTTTTGCTGGGTGGGACATGGGCGGCCAAAGGGAAACTTGGTCACATGGCACAAATTGACATTTGCAGATTTTGCTAAGGTTGTGTTCCTTTTAGCCAGCCCTTCAATCAAGATTGTACACGAAATTTATCCCCGCCAACTTTTCTATTGCAAAATGCAGGGCTTCTGATAATTCGCGGAAAAAAAAGTCAAATTTCGCAGGATTTTGGGGGACAAAATCGCGGAAAAATCAGCCGATTTCGCGGGAATTTCATGGGAATTTTCAGGGCAAACTTGGTCGGTAAGCAATCGGTAAAAAAACAGCGAATTTGTGGTTATTTTCAGGGCAAATTTCGCAAAAAATCGATCGGTTTTGCGCTGATCAGACCAGCGTTTTTAATGCTTTTCTAACAGAGGTCATCATTTGCTCTTTCAACAACAATACGCTCTAGAAATGAACCAATGGCAAAGCCTTTAACATCATGGCTAGTGCCCAGTTTTTCGCAACATAATCCGCGCCTGGTAGTTTCGGAACGTTGTTTCCACATTTCAGTGACGAAGTTTTGACATAAATTTGCGAGGTTACGGCAAGTAAATACCCCCAGTAGCTGAGACAAGTTTCAAAATTGCTGTACAGACATGTATTTGATAAGATTTCTACCGAATTTCGCGGCATTTTGCGTGTTTTTGTGAATTTCGCGGATTTACCTGAATTTCGCGGCTCCGCGACCGCGCGAAATATCAGAAGCCCTGAAAATGCTACAAAAGTTGTTCTTCCCTTAGAAATTTGAATGAGCACCTAATTTGTCACCGTAATGAGGATGCTGAGGGACGGGAAAGGCAATGATATAAGTTTAAGCTTAACATATAACGAGTGAAAGAAACTTTGGTTCCAAGATTTACCGCACTTGTGACAGAAGGGCGCCCAGCACAGTAATTGTAAGCTTGGCTCATGATCAGCAGTGGGCACTATTAAGCTGAATCGATTTCGATTGTTACCTTGTTTTTGTTGTGAATGACATTCCACATTGAGATGTCTTATGCGTTTCTTCCTTTTCTCTTTATCTTCAAGAAATTGATAACGCCCAAGTTCAACTAGGAAGTCACCTAACTCATTCGTTGATTGTCGTAATTGGGCAATTTCTGTTGTCAAATGATCGAAACCCCCAGCTTGATCACCCATGCTTGCCAAAAAACACAAATCCTCAGCCCTGCGCCAGAAAAGTAGGCTCAAGTAAGCGACCAAGACTCAAAAAACTTACGACGAAACCTTTAACGAAGGACGAAAAGTTGACTGAGTGATCGACCGGCCAAGGAAAGTTAATTCGCGTTTTACAAATTCACTTGTCACGTCCACAACTTGTCACGTGACGTCATAGAGACTGGGGAGAGTGTGCGAGCCTCGTTCCCAGGATTCTCTTAAATTACTTTCTCATAAATTCAACACAGAAACAACATCCTGATTCAATTCAAATTTTATTTTATTTTTTTTTGCAATTTTTGTTTTCATTGGCGTAATAGGGTGATTTTACTTCACCCGTGAAACAGATACTAACAACTAGGGCAAAATAGCTACAAGTAAAAAAAAGATTACAATGGAATTATTGTGTAACAGCGCGTAGTATTCTACTGCCTATTTCACAGGTTAGGAAAAATCACTCTAATAATAGATAATAAACGAACAGGAACTCACGTTGATAAAAAAATATCGTTTTCCACTAGTTAAGGTATCGATCAGTAAAAAAATATAACAACTTTTGTCTTCCAAAAACAACAGCAACAGTGACAACAACAACAACTTACAAGAACATTAAAAGGATAACAGCAATTCCAATTCACCATTTGCAATTGGAAAATCAAATAAATTATCAATTAGCCTTGGCAATGAGCATAGGCAACATAGCCTGCGGGCAAGCCCAAAATTCACCACACCCGACTCCACCCCTGACAGCTTGCTCAAAGGCTACAAACGTCGTTCCAAGGGTTCTGTCCTACTTGTCCTTAGGAATATGGTTGAAAGGCTACAACACAAGATTCGCCTATCACAAACAATTTGAACGTTGTGCATGAATAGACAGCTATTTGGTAAACTAGCAAGGAATAAACGGCTTTATGCTACTAACTTGGACTACAAAAAAATTCCAAAAGCGTCTGCTAACAAACGTGACAAAGTTTGGCAAAAGCCATGAGCCTATCATAACAAACAGAACTCGTTTCAAAAGTAAGTTAACAAAACAAGACCTCTGACTCTTAGACGTTGGTTGCGTGGCACAGTGTAATATACTGAAATCCCGCGGGGTTACCCTTCAGCGTCAGCTTGGATAAGGCTGCTTGAACCTGTATCAGGAAACTTACTCCCTGGACTGACTGTATAACGGGTGTCGACATATCGGGCAGGTACGACTGAAAGAGACAGTAAATAAAAATTATTTACAAACCTTTCAAGAACTAGAGTATTACCAAAACGAGCGATTGAACTCTTCTCTTCCTTCCCATCTACATGTCAACTTTCTCAGAGGCAGCAACTGTAGTAACTGCCGGAACTAATTGATTGTCTTATAAGGACTTAAGTGGCCAATTTTCTAAACTGATTTAATGGTTCAAAAGAAATGGGTTGTTCAATATAACCGCACTGTAACGGTCCGTTTAGGTCATGTTACGATCCGCACGGACGTACGAACCGTAACACACCGTGCCCTGGTGTTATAATGAGATGCACGCTTTGTATGTACTCAGAATACGGACTGTTAGCAACGCTGACATTTTGTATGGAGCGTACTATCCTTCAACTGCATGCTCTTAACGGTCTGTTACACTAACGGTGCCGAAAGACAGAGCGAAGTTTCTGCTACCAAAATTTTCTAAAAGGGAACGGTTTTCATGATTGCAGAAAGTTGATCACGTGACTAACTATAGCCTCCCCCGCAGGCGTTTTTAGGGGAGATCGTATTTCTTCTTGTGGGGAGGGAAGAAATACGATCTTCCCTAAAAACGCCTGCGGGGGAGGCTAGACTATAACTATTGCAAAAAAAACAACAACAACAACAACAACAACAAAAAAACAAAACAAAACCTATTATAACTTCGGCATTATCTTACTTTTAAACCAGCTTATTTCATAAGAATAAGCCTTTGGTCATGGGCAAAGTAAAGTGATAACTTACATGCCGTTTTGTATCATAGCAATTGCGCATTCTCTATGAACCTTGTGTGAACATGGTAATATCTGGCAACCACTGAATGCATCCTGAAATTAATGGAAAAGACAATTATATCAGCATTGCAATTTACTGCAGCCGCAGCTTTCCAGAACATATAATGAAGTACTGTAGTGTTAGAGATATGAACCAGCCTGCTACCCCTCAAAAGCAGCTCACTCAAAAGAAAAAAAAGTCACTGAAACCGCATCTAATAGCATCCCGTTTCGACGTCTACACTCTTTCGGATTAAACTTGTACTTAAACACTCCTTCAAAAATTTTTGAGAAGCTTATGATAAGATTGCAATTTGAAACAAGCGCGGCAGATTAAACCTCACCTCCAAGCAGATGCAACATTCATCATGGCCTGAATCTGGTCGACACTTGTGATTTCCCTCAAGTCGTTTGTCTAAACACACGTTACAAACCTCGCAGTGGAATGACTTGTCCTGGTGAATTCTGGAAGACAAAAAGTTAAGTGTTGATACAATTACAAAACACTATGGCAATACTTATGCTTATATTTATTATTGATATGAACGAGCCAACCAGAAGCGCATTGGTTCTTGAAACAAAAGGTGGTTTGGACAAGTCTGGGCCATTCAGGAGGTCACCAGAACATAGTTTTTTTACACCCCAACCTCTATGCCAGGATCTTTGGCACTGAACAAGATGCAGCCTGAATAAATTGAACGATTTTGCTCTATTTCGCTATTTCCTAGTATTTTGGAGCAACTTTTATGCAGGGCGTCTATTGGACAGGGGGCGTAAAGAGGGGCGTCTAATACGACGTTTATCCCAGTACACATTAGACCATTTACGGTAATCGTTATTTTGCTAGAAGGATGTAGACCTACCGGCATATTCCACATTTTTCACAATGGTACGGATTCTTGTCCACACTGGTGAAATGTTTACAAATGGCACAGAAATAAGCAGACATTTTTCCTCCACACTTACGACACTTTGCACTGTCTTCACCAATCTGTAACAACGATCACAAAGAAGTTTAATCGAGGATTTAGTCCCAAGTGTATTTACGATACCTGGTCTCCCAGAGGCTTTTGAGCTGGCAAATAGCATGTTTATAAACATGGGAGTAAGATCCAAAAGCAGACCACTCTCCTTATCCACCCCTCCCCCCAACACACAAATATAAAGTTGAATACGATCTTAATCTCATTCACTAGGCAAACTCGGAACGAACGAGCAGGGGACTCGAGCGCACAACCTTGGACTACAAAACTGAGGCGCTGAGCACTCGGCCTCGCCGCCTCTCGGGTTTCCTTCAAGTTCTTTCCGGCCTGCCTAACGCATTTAATCGAAACCCGGCAAAGACTAATCAAGAACAACTGATTTCGCTCTCTTCCTTGGAAATTCCTATAACAACAGAAGTTGACTGTATAACTATTGTATCAGTTACGGTACCTTTTATAGTAATCAGGCTCTATATTCATTTCACTACTGAGGACAATAAACTTCCAGGTGAAAGGCGGATCAACAAGACATCCTGACTGTTTACTATTTATATGGGCAAACCGGTCGGTTGGTAAATTTTTCCCAAGAATAGACTTTCAACCTGATTTCAAAGATGGCTTTGAAGGAAAAAAACACTAATTTTCGGATTTTTTTTCGGATGTTCCGTTGCTCCCGGAACTTTTCCGCCGAAACGCCCCAGAAGTCCAACCGGACTTTGTGGAACATTTTTGTAAATGGTCGATAACCCCTTTGACAAATCTTCATGAAACGTCCGCCACTTTTAGTTTTGATTTATTTACATTTGCCGAACAGCCAATCAAATTTACTTCCGCCGCACGCATTTTCCATTTAGGAAAATGCAGAAATTTACGAATTTAAAAGTATTATCCTAAGCAAAACAAAAATACAATGTCTTCCGAGAATGAGGGTGTTTTTTTTTACAACTTGTTCCAAATGTTTTCAATGTTTTCGTTTTCAATGTTTTTGGACTGAACATTTTGTTTTACTATAACCTTTGGAAATATTTTCCTTTCTCCTTTCACTGCGACTGTCTCCAAAAAAATATCTATTATAAAGCCAGCTTATTATCTGTATCATCAGAGACATGAAACGACACACGTAAAACCGTTGAAATAACCTAAAAATGAAGCAATATTATAAAACAAAAAAATTCACCATCTCCTCCTCATACTTTTTCCGTTAAAACTGAAAATTCCGATGGGGAAAATGTTGCTTTTGTTTGTTTGTTTCTTTTTTTTTCTCGAGATCCAACGTTTATAACCAGCAGGATTTTCTTCCACGGTTTTTGCAGTTAATTTAATTATTTTTTTTTAGTTTTTCTAAGGGAAAGCATTTTCGTGTCACGTCATGTTGCCAGTGATTAGTGATCATACACCTGAATCGCGGGTCATATAATGGGAACACTGGTCGGCTCTGTGACCAGGCTCTTCATTGGGGAAAAAGGACAAAGAACGGGGGCCACCACGAAGAAAGGAGCGAACTGAGTGGGAGATTGAGGGGAGAAATGGGCGGCGGCCTTTAGTTCGGCTTCCATTTTTTGCACCCGGAATTCGCCATTTTTACCCACCAAGGAGCCTCGTCTCAGCCAATACTTAAATAAACAGAAGAGTTGTAATAGATGCCTGAGCGGTCTAGTGGGTAACATGACTCGGCCCTTCACGTATCTGCCTTTTCCTATCAGGACAAGTTCGGTCCCTCCGCAAAACCGTCATTTTCCAATGTTTCTTTTTTCCTTGTTTTTTTTTTTTGGTTGCTGTTTGTAATTGGCTATTCAGATCTTTCCTTTTCTTCTCTTTTTGTTCGTTCTCCTGGGTAACCTCCTTCACCCCCACACGAACCTGCCTTTCACCATCAAAAAAAGTACGGTCCCACCGCAATACCGTCATTTTCCAATGTTTCTTTTTTCCTTGTTTTTTTTTTTTGGTTGCTGTTTGTATTTCATTTACTTAATTGTTTCCTGCGCCACAAAAAGCCACGGTTAGAAAAAAAATCGAGAAAAATCTTGATTTCGTGAAAGAGTTGACAAATTGATTTCTTTCAACTTTTGATCATAGATATAGATAAAAAACCTAATGTAAGTTGTTCCCGCCAAAAGCCTGTTATTTTCTAGAATTAAAATACCTGGAAATTGGCCGGAGCTGCTGAATGAAATCTCTGGAAGATGGCTCTGAAGTTTAGGAAATTTCAGGGTGTAAAAACGTCCAATTTCGAAACGTACAAACGCAGATATTTGAACCCTAAATGTCCGTTATAGTTTATACTTCTTGTAGGTTTTCCCATTGCAAAGTTGCTTTTCTAATCAGAGTGAGATAAAACAAAAAGCCAGACTGGAATAATTTTAGCGACTCTGAAATGCTGAACCCTTTAACTGGCAAATTTCCAAAATTCTGGGAAGGAAAATGACGCTAGAATAACTACGAACACAGAAATTTATTTAATGGCATTGATCTTAAAAGTACCATGTCAAAATGGACTAAGGCTGTTTGCGAGTTACCTTGAAGCTAACTCGCATTCGGTACCAAAAAAAAATGTCTCAAGTTTTCAACCACATATTAACTCTATGCTAAACGACAGAATACGGGGCCACTTATTTCCATGTCATTAATTACTCCAAACAGAAACATAAATCAAAGCCAGTATAACATATCGAACCAATGTGACAAGCTTCATTTTGAAGACAGGAAAGCAGAACAAATAGAGAGAAAACTCCGACAGAACGACTAAAACGTAAGTCGATACAAAATGGCACTATTTCTGCATGTTACTTTGTAAAATGACAATGCTTGCGTCGAGTTACCTAACCAGCTTTTAAATCCATCTCCTTTCGTCAACAACATCGCACACTTTAAAGTACAACTATTTGAATGTTCAGGCTTGTAGTTCGTTGCAATACTCGTCGAAAAACACGACCATTCCAAAGAAAAATCTACAAAACTATAACTGGAGCTGAGAGATCTTCGTCTTCCGTCGCCATTTTGTTAAGTTCGTTTGCCGCAGAGGTCCATAAAATATCGAACATTTGGGCTAGATTACAGAATACCCGTAATGAATATTTAACCTCAGAAAGCCGTCACTGCAGTCTCGAAGTAGTCTATAATTTACATACTTTTATACACATTTCGCTTCATCATTTAAGCAATGAAAAAAGTGAAAAAATGTATTTTATGCAGTCAAAATGTCAGTCACGGAGTCACGGTAGTAATGCAATGCAATTCTTGATTTCGATGGCGATAGTGCCTTGACGAAAAACTATCGATCCCCAGTCGCGCTAGAGTTCTGGTACTCACTTTTTTTTGAGAAAAATGACTTCGATAATGGCAATTTACGATAAGAGTGAGGAAAAAATAATATACTTTGCTCTGCAACATTTGGAAACGAGGAAATTCAGAGCCTGTTCGCATCAGTTGTTACGCGCTTTTGATCATATTTATATGGAAAAGGTGCGCTATAAATTTTTAATCATTATTACTTCCACGCTTTCGCTGAAATAAAGATTCTAAGGTATAATTTATATCAACGTCAGGTCTAAATGTGTCATTAAACAAGAACTGAGAAAATTTGAAGTCGTATCACAAGATAAACAATGCAGCAGGTAATCTGTTAAATTAAAGTTTTTGTTTTTCTTGAAAACATGTTCTTTGTTTGATATTGAATTATGTCTGTGTGAGGTGTCTCGAAAAAGCTCAAGGTTACTTTCTGGTGAAAGAAAAAGGGTTTTCCTCTTAATAGGATTTGTCCAAATCTCCCCGTGCGGTTTTAGGAAACTTGATCTCAGCGATCAGGCTATTTTTAGACTTCCAGCAAGGAAACCGATCATATTCTAATTTTTCTTGAAAATCAAAGGCCTTTAGCGAGAACAATTTCATCGGCTTTCTTATCTACCAATCCTCGGTATTTTCTAACCTCATATAATATCTGACCCTGACCCAATTGAATTTTACACCACAGACCAAAATTCTGATTCAAAATAGAACCCTGGTCTCCAGAAGGACATTATCTTTACAGCGGCTCATTGGTAATCGAGCCTTCATTGTTTATTAATTCATTTAAGCGTCAAATTAAAATAAAAATTACCTCCTGTTCATGTTGACAGTGAGAGCATTTAAGGTGGGTGGCATGGCAGGCTTTAGCCTCTTCATTGTCACAAGCTTTCGAGATGTTGTGGCACCGATGGCATGGATAGAATTGTGTGCAACAAGGGAAGCGCACTCTGCAGTGCCGCTGATAATGTTCACATAACCACTGTGAACGTGCGTTGATGGCTTCTTGTTGTTGTGGCCAGTTTTCAGCTTCCCGTAACTCTCTCTCTTCTCTCTCTCGTCTTTCTCGAGCTCTCTGTTCTCTTATTAACTGTTCTTTCCTTTCTATCTCCCTTCCAAACTGTTCACGTTCCTCTCTTTCCCGAAGAACGCGTTCAACAAGGGCACAAGCTTCCGCAACACGCCGTTCGAGAGCAAGTAACGAGTTGTCTGAGGCCTCTATTGAATCAGTACCAAAGTCTGTGTTGTTTAACACAGAAACTCTATTGTTGTCGGCGTTACCATGACGTGGTTCTAAAACAGATGTATCATGTGTAGATCTCGCTGCCAAAACACTATCGAACGCTGTGGAATTTTCAGGTTGATACCGTGCAGAGGAATTTGCATCATTATTAATGTTTCCAGTTGTCGTCCTCGAATTTCCAAGTGCTAAATTTGTTTTCTGTGCTTGCTCATCTGTACCCTGATTAGAAATAAAAGCTGAAGCGTTGTCATCACCAGTAAACCTATTTGCATCATGAGCAGGGTCCATAAGCTGCTCACTTAAAAAGCTACTAAATCTTGGCGCATTATGTACAGGATCCCCAAGTAGAGTTAGTGCTGCACCTGTCCGTGAAGGGTCAGCAAGACTTGAACCAGTCATTCCTGGATAACTATTTAGAACAGGGTCACTTGCCATGGGAGGATATGGCGTTTGCTGTGCTGATGGCAAATAAGTCTGTTGGTCAAAATGGTCAACTCCTGCAAATCTATGACTACTATGTACAAAATCACTTTGAAGAGAATAGTTGTTTGCAGCAGTTGAAGTATTTCTTGATAAATAGTTACTATGCAATGAGAACAAATCATTTCCTAAACGGCTGGGCGAAAGACCCGAGTTGTCACTGAAAAGTTCCGCATTAGAAGGGCCACTTAAATGTCTATTAGATCCACTCACAAGTGAATTGCCAGTTCCAATAAATGGCTCTGCCCTGGACGCAACCTGGCAATCCCCAAAGTACGCCTGGGCTTTGCTAGATTGAGATATGTCACCGTCAATAAAGGAAGTCCCCTGCGATGGAAAGTCATTGAACAGAGAAGCACCGTCAGTTTGATAGATACTGTCATGAAGGGATTTGTCTTGGGTGTGTCTCGCTAAGAAATCACCAGCTAAGCCATCAGTTATATAAACAAATGGTTCTGTTGGCTTTGGTTGAACATCTGAATGTTGAACCTCCTTTGGTCTAGCACCGAGACGCTCCCAATCTGTTTCAGCGGATGATTGTGTCCTAAGTACCCTCCCTGCTGTTGAAGAGGTTCCTTGCTGTGTTAATAGGAGGTTTCCTCCACTTGCAACGCTTTGAGTTCCAACAATCTGACCAACAAAACGGTCTGAAGAATCTGTTTCTGTATCTGCACTTGTGCCAGAGTGTACTGTTCTTATTGCTCCATCACAAGAATCGACAAAGTCTTTTTCTTCCTCAATTTCTTTCCATTCCGACTTCTCAGTTGCTTTATCAAAAAGCTCATCTTCCCCATTAGCTACATAGCATTCATTGTTTTCTGAATAAGAATAAGCTGAATAAGACTGGCATGCTGCTACTAATGGAGGGCCATCACACTCCACATCAGCATAATAAAATTTTGGAGACCGTTCAGTCTGCTCTTTAGTACATCCTGCGTTAGGGTCAGCGTCAGCTGAGATTCCTTTATTTCTACAAGCCTTACTAGAGAGTGTCGTCAAAATAGGTGAGCCATCAGTTGTATCAATCAAGGACTGCAAGGTGCAACTAGAATCAGCCACCACTGCGGTTTGTTCAAAACTGGATGATAATAATGAACTATCATTAGAACTTGACAAATAACCGTCTGAAGTAAGGGTGGGGAATTGGGGAAATTCTTTGGCGCTGAGAGCACTTTTCATGGATGAATTACTGCTTTTTTCACTCTCACTTGAGACAGCGGTGTACGTGTTGGTTTCCCTTGCATTTTCACTGAATCCAAGTGATGAATTGTTATCCTGCTCAATTTCTGCTTCCTCTGTTGTAAATGATTTATCATTTTCTTCAACACCTTGCAATTGCATCGAGTCTCCTCTGATACTCACACGTGTAAACACTCCATTTCGTTCAATGTGCTTCCTTCCATGTCTGTTCAGTTGTACCTCCAAACTGTAATCTTTAACAGATGTCAGTCTGGGTGAATTCTCAACACGACCAGGTAATCTATTTCCACTCGCTGACAAGCTCTGCCCAGAAAGAATGTCTGACCCTGAGTGAAAATAAGCAAGCAACAACACTAGTAAAAAAAAAAGCAAACATCCTTTATGAGCACAGTCCTTGAGAATTAAATAGACCGGCTACTTCATCCAGTGAATCCACTACATTACCGTCCATCATGCATTTGGTTTGGAATCATTCAGATCTTCCTTAGCAAGTGCCTTTCCCCTGTCTTCTCTCCTTTTTAATTCCAAGGGTGAATGCTACATGTAACAGACTAGGGAAGGGGGAGGGGATTTGTGACAGTTCGCCCTCTTTCTTGACCCAGAAACACATCCCCTTCCCTCGTTTCTTTACCTGAATAGCCAACTTTGTATCTGGGGTGATACACCCATCCCCACTAAAACAGCACAACTACACTGCAAACAAAATTCCTGATCAGCCCGGTGTTCTTATTTTAAAATAGACCTTTCCACTTTTTGACAAGGATCTGTTCGCACAAATGCCACAAAAAACTAAATAAATAGTTGCCAAGTCAAAGAGTGATATTTCAGAAATGAGAGATGACATTGCTTTGCCAAGTCACCAAAAAGTTGCCACTATCACCAACCCCTATCAAACGTCTATGAAACCCTATGATTTTGCAATTCATAGATGTTTCTTTTCAACTTATATCACTCTCTAACTTGACGACTTTGCTGATTTTAAGGTAGCGACAGATTTTTGCCAACTGATCCTTGTCAAGAATAGCCCATTTTACAGTTACAGGTGAAAACGAGGTTGGAATTGACCTTGTTTATTTATATACAACCCTTCCTGCTTTATTATGTAACTAATGTTTTTCTTATGTTAACTACGTATTTTTAAGCATAGTTCCCATACGAAAAGGAAAGAGGTTTGCATCAAAACAACGTCAACCTCAGCCTCACGTCCACTCAAAGGCTAGGATACTAAGCCCACAACTATAAAATGGCCTATTGAAGAAAACATTGAAGGGTCTATACATCTAAACTGCTTTAACATTCATTTAACAATTAGAGTGTGTTGCTACAATGAAAAATGATTAGGGATTCTCATTATTACCATGTTTTGCAGCTGTTAAAGGAAACTGTATTCCAAGTTTCTCCACAAGATCATATCGCTGAATCCCCACTAGTAGGTTTGCAATATAATGGCAGGGAAATACTCCATTTGTTTCCAGTTCTTCAAACAGTTCAAAGGCTTCTGTTATCCGTGCAAGTCTGAAACCATTCACTTTGCTTTTGACCAGAAACTTGATCTTTTTCACCTCTTCCCATGATAATGAATCAGAGATCTCTAGAAGTCTTGAGTGAAGGGAAAATCCTGAAAAAAATCACGAGAAAGAACATAAAACAATGACCCTTGCCAAATTGATCACTGCCCATGGGAATGATATTTTTTATCCTTTTTTTTAAATACAATGAATGGTTTGAGCCTAGGATCCCTTTGAAGCCAGATCTCTGGAAGTCTTGAATGCAGGGAAAAACCTACAAAAAAAAAATAAGGCAGGAATATAAAACAATGAACCCTGCCAAATAGATCACTGCCCATAGGAATGAAAAGTTTCAAGTTTTCATTTCATAGGAATGAAAGTTTCATTATTTGCGATTCAATGAATGGTTTGAGTACAGGAGTCATGTCATACTCGCCCTCGACCTCGCCCTCGCCCTCAGTCAGAAGATGTAACACGACTGACCAGGGAAGTGTAGTCCTAAATAGGACTGTAGTTGACAGTGACTGACGTTTCAACAACCTGTGCAGCAGTCATCTTTGAAGTCAAAGTGAGTTGTATATCATTAATTAACAGTATTAAGCTCTCTGGTTATTGACCTAGCTAATTGTTCAATTAAGTCAGGATGTTATTTGTTTTCTATATCAAAGTTAAAATGGTTATGAAATCTTCATACATTCGAACTGCATGAGAAAGATTTAACCTGAGAAAGACAATCACAGTTACATGGAAATATGCATCTTAATAGGTCACCAAAAGAAAGCTTGAAAAAAGTTAAAGCTCTTAATTACCACTGAGCTATCTAGCAAACTGGCTGGAATTTTTTCAGGCTTTCTCTCCGCAACTAAGTTGTACACATGACTGCAACAATCTTTCACGTGATAAATTATTGGTTCTCTGTCAGTTAAGCAGTACTGTTATTGGACTTTATTATACATCAGACTCACTATGAAAAATCTGATTGGTCAAGAGCATTCAATCAATTCACAATAGCTTGTGAACTTGACATGATAAATGCAATATCTGCTGCAGATATTTATCATGTCAAGTTCAACGTCTGCCTGGTTACCAAGCCCCTTGGAGTGTTCTCCGGAGAAACAGAATGGCTGAATGTCTCTTTTTGCCTATTGTTTAAAAAATGTATAATAAAACAATTATTGATTTTGGTTTTTGCATGATATCATGAATTATCAAAACCTCGTGTCTGTATTATCTGCCGAAGCCAAACACAGACCTCGGTTTTGATAATTCATGATATCATGCTCAACCTCATCCAATAATTGTTTAATAACATCTAACGATGCATTTGAAGAACTTGAGCTCATTGGAATGCAGTTAAGAAAGATGCAGGCCGTAAAAATTACACATAGTATGTTGGCTGCATTAAAAAGTAAAGTAAATCAGAGTGGTTACAGGCTAACAACTTTCTACAGACTTTAAACATGTATTTTCCAAGTGTCAAGCAACATCTATTAATTCCCTGAAAATACCACTTAACGGCAAACACTTGGAAGAAATTCTATGGAATGGAAAGTTAAGGAGGACTGTTATGAGTTTAGATATTATTAATTTGAATGAAAAATTAAGTAGTCATTGAATCTGCTATCTTATAATAATATTATGAAGAATAATTCTCCAATTTTGCACATTATTCATAAAACATTATAATTATGCAGCTTTCAGAGGGTGTTACAAACCAAATCAAAAACACCTTAATTAATCTACACAATTCCTCTTTACATACTCAGCCTTATCCAATCATGTTAGTTTCCTCCAATTCTGCAATTCCTCACACAGTTCCATGTTCTTAAACTGTTAAGCTGCTATTTATTACTTTTTAATTGACATCTCCAACTAACCTGACTCATGCAGCAAAGCTGCCCCTCCCAGGAGCCTTCCACAACGCTTTCCTTTTTCTTCAAGGAACAAGTGTTTCCCCAGGTCAACTTGGAGTTTCTGTTTCTCTTCTTCACTCTGCTTCAGCTGTTCCTCCAATTGCTTGATCTCTAGTTGCAATTCAAAGCACTTCTTCCGCGAAGCTGCTAACACATTCTCAAAATCACCAGACGCAGTTTCTAAACCACTTCCCTCTGAACTTGCAGCAGATGATGGTCTTGAAATGCTCTCATGACGTTCAACAGAAAGACCTTGTTTCTGATGTTGGTATAAATCCAAATGTCCAGCTTGGTTGTTTAGAAGCAACATGCTGGAATTTGCCACATTTGACTCTGTGTTTGTGTGAACATGTTGCACACCTGTTTTCTGGTCAACAGGGAAAATAGAGTTTTCTTCACTGCTCACAGAATTACATTCAGCAACTGATGATTGCAATTGATGTAAATCTTCCAACTGCTTTGCTTCCCTTGTGTCTGGATCACAGCTGCCTTCCTCATTTGACAAGTGCCTGTAACTAGAGACTTCTGAATCACTTTGGTCAAGAGCGAGGGGGCCATTTGATTCGTTTATACTTCTCACAGATGACAAGCTATCAGGTAATGACTTTGTTGGTGTGAAGGAATCATCAGATTCAGGAAAACTGTAGCTGTTTTCAGAAACTGAGGTCTGTTCAGATGAGACTGGTGAGTACTGATTTACTTGAACATCACTAGCACAACTGTCAGAGGAAGATGATGCGACGTTGGAGCTCTGCAATGTTTTTTCTGTAGTGGCTTCACATTTGGCTTGTCTCAAAAGGTACTCCAGAAGACACAAATTAATATCCACGTCTGTAGGTGAGTTGCTGCTGGTATGGCTTACAAAAGGCCTAATCTCCACATCCTATTGCATAAAAGGTAACAAATCAAGTCATTTGTCTTGGTTTCTGGACATGTTAATTAAACCACCTAATGAGTCTTTTTGTAGAACTGCAACAAGATGATACGTTTTTACATAACATGGAAACTTGGAAAAAAGCTGAGCCCCAGATGGGATTTGAACCCACGACCCTCCATGATCTAGTCAGATGCTCTAACCACTGAGCTACTGGAGACTTGATGGCGAGCCAGGGTGAAATGTGGGTCTTTGACTAGAAGGTGCATCACGTCAAATTAAAAAAAAGCGCATATGACTCAACAGCATCACACAACGATCCAACCACCAAACGACTCACTTGACAAAGTCCCCAGCCTGTTCACTAACTGCTTCCTATTTTTTTGCTGTAATAAAGAATATGGGATAAGGAGGGAAGTATACAATCCACACCTGGTACCAGTTGTTCAAAAGAGCATCCCTATCCAGAGGAAAAAAGTTAATGTTATCCAGTGGATAACACAATATTGGTTTCCCACAAGGTAGCGATTTATCTGTTGGATAGCACTATCCAAAAATTGAACAACCAGGGCTGATAATGTATTTATTTTGGTTATTGCTAAAACACAACTTTACAATGTAAATAGAAAAAACTTACCACGCCTTGTAACACTTCGACAGTTGAAGGCATCTTTAAAACTGACTGTGGATGTATGCTGTCTGCACATGGAGAGTCACTTCTTTCCAAGGTCGAATCAGAGCGAAACAAGCCACTGGTCACATCTGAACTGCAGTTTTGCCTCGACAATTCACAACAGCTCCCCTGGCCAAGCAACCATGAAGATCGTTCAAAGTTTACACTGAGAGCTGAAGATTCCATGGTCTTTTCTAGAGCCTCTTGTACCAATGAACAGACCCGCTCTAAATCTGATTCCTTGAAGCTGTAACATTTTACTGTTAAAAACTTCTTTTCAACAGCAATAGAAATAAAGGATTTTCCCAGCTTTTCAATGACAAGAGATGCTACATTTTGTGCTGGGGAAACATGAGATACAACAACACTTAGGTCTGTGCTTAGTGTCAGCTTTTCATGTAATCTTTGGGTCAGACGGTCAAAGACAAACTCAGCCTCGCGCTGATTAGAACATTCAGAAGAGAGGTAGGAGACCTGTATTGACTGCTTAGTTGATTTTAAGGAGGACTCCCAAGAATTCAAGTAGTCGAAGTTGTCACACTCTTGCAAATCCGACAATTCCAGTTCAACAAGAAGAGGAAGACAGTCGATCAGCCTCCCAAGGAAACGAATGTTGAGTGTAGGGATTGTCATTTCCCTATACAAATCATCTCTCTCTACAAAATCTTTGCGGAATGATGGTTGTAAAAAAAGCGTCAAAACACTCTTTTGGAGTGCAGAGGCCAGGAAACTAATGTCTTCTTGAATATTATGAGGAACCCTCAAACACAAGACAAAATACTTGTTGTTTACAGATGATAAGAACATTTGAGACCCTTCACTTTCTTCATCTGGTTCTTTTGTGTCACTCACTGGATGATTGCCCATATGTTCACCAGACTCTGAAGAGGCTGGCTTTGGATGCGAGGATACAATGCAAACTACAGGCTTGTCAAAGACAGGCGGTCTGTGCAAAATGTGGAAAACATCTTGACCAGCAAAATCTTTTATTTGAAGTTCCTCTGTTTTGTGTCCCTCCAAGTAATTCATGAGCAAAGCAAGATGCCTGTATCTTTCATAACCAGTTTTGAGGTGCACCAGATTAACAAGAGCTACAACTTTTGCACAGAGATCAAAGGATCTGTCTGTATCAACTGCTAGTGATGGAACTAGTAAATGGACTAGCGGAGAGTAGATAATTCTGGTTTTGGTCCAGGATTCACTATTAATGTCTAAATGCTGTTCAACATCCTCAAAAGACTTTTCTGCCTCTTTCCTGTCCCTTAAGGAGAGCTGCAAGACACCAAGCAAACTGCGGCATGCAATGACAAAAGAATGATGGGGTTTCAGTCCAAGATGTAAGAAGATGTCAATCGCTGTTACCAGTTTTTCTCTGGCTAAATTCCACAACGACTTATCTTTTAGCAAGACCGTGGCAGACTGGAAATATCCACTGGCTAACATGGGAGACAGCTCACCACAAGCTGAAATGAAGATGCCCAAAGCTTCTTCCATGGTATCACAGGCACACCGAAAGTTTTTCTCCCCAATCTTTAAAAATGAGAGTTCTAGAAGAATCCTTCCAGCTTCTGGATGATTAGGATTTAAATTTGTAAACTTTGCCAGGGCTTCATTTAGATGCTTCAAAGCTTCTTTGTAGTTCCCCATTAGCAAAAAGCAGGAACCCAACATACTCATACAAGATGCAACTGTGTGGTGTTCTTGGCCAAAATAAGAGATTAGAATGTTCACTGCTTGTCTGAGTGCAATTAAAGCTTCAGAAAACTTTTCACAGGCAATAAAGAAGCAACCAATCTGATATAACAGAAAACCATAGAGTGAAGCCTTTCCACCATGAAGAAAGAGGAAAGAATTCTGCAGCTTTATCAACAAACTGCAAGCTTCATCAGGGTAACCATTTTTGTGATGAATCTTTGCTGCATTGATCATTATTCGTATGACCTCAGCGTTCATCAACTCTGCATCAGGATTATCAAGCAACATGAGCAAATTGTATGAAAAAGCTGTGACCTCTTTAGATACAACATTTCCACTTGTATCCTCTTTAAGTTGGAGTTTCATCAATTGCCCTGCTAAAACTGCTGACATAGGGATACTGGCTCCAGCGAAGTCAAAGCGAGCACAAATCCTCAGGAATTTGTAGAACATCACATAGTCCTCTAACTCTTTTAACATATCGGCAGCTCTTACTAACACCTTGACTAGCAAATGAACATTCTTTTCCTTTATCTCAAATTTGTGGCAATATACAGCAGCTATTTCAGAACAGAGACTTTGTGCCTTTTTGTAGTCCCCGACAGCTTTGTACAGAACTGCTTGGTTTAAAGACACTGCTGCACCTCTCAAATGGTCTTCTTGGAGATCAAAACAACTTTTGGCCATAATGAAGCACTCAGTACTCTTCTCGAAAAGTGCTTTTTCAGTAAACATCACCCCAAGGTTGTTGATTACAACTCCAAAACCAGGATAATGTTCATACTGACCAGCCAAAGTTTGGATTACTTCTAAGGACTTTGTGGCAACTTTCTCGAAAGCAAACAAACTCAGGATGGCAAGACAGTTCATTAGGTTGAAATCTCCATCGCCTTGGCAAGTAAAAACTATGAATTCACTTTGGCCGGCACTCCAATGTTTGGAAGAATTCCAAACCCTCTGCACTAATGCCTTAAAATTCTTCTCACTCAGGTTAATACCATCCAAATCTGGCATGACACAGTCTTTCAGGCTGTTTTCTTCTCCCATTCTCTTTTCAGTATTTTGCCATTCTAAACCTCTAATGATAGCCTCAAGCTGTTCACCACTTTCCTTGGGAATGGAAATAAACTTGGCCAATAATTCACTTGAAGGTTCTGTATGAGGAAGAACATAAAATACTGGAGTTAGAAATAACAGCTCCACAATTCACTTTAGGGAGCTTAAGCAGTGAAAAAGTCACTATTAAAAACAAGAAGTCAAGTTCTTTAAAACTCTATCACATTGGCCTTCTACATTATTTTTATCATAATTGTTGGAGTTGAAAATTATTCTTATGGACTCTATCTAAGTTCAAATCGGAAAAGAAAAATTAGTCATCACGTGTTTGCCTCCTTCATAAATGGTTGCACAAGTAAATTTCACACTGTAGTTGTGCAGTGCAAGAATAATTTTATATAGTATTAACCATCATGCACCTCCAGTGGTGTTGTTTTGCACACAGAATTCACATAGAGACTATAGACCAGCAATGCTTCACATTCAACTTCACTCTAATTACATGGAACTTAAAATAGCTCATAGTTAGCTATCAACATGAAGTGGTTGTGGTTGCTTACAAGAGGTTCCAAAAAAAGATTTGACAGAGAAAATAATAATCATTAGAATCAATGGTTCAAATGGAGGTTTAAGAAATATTATTGTAGGATGTCAACTAATTACTTCCAAATGTGTGCATTCTCTCAGCTCCTCCTCTTCTGAAGTCATACATGTAATTACCTTTGAAATGAGGCCAGGAACAAAATATGCATGGATCACTCAAAATATGTGCAACAAGAGAAGCTGCCATCACACTTGCAAACGCTTGCCAACTGTTCACATTTAACTGGGCACTGTCTCCAAACTGGGAAATTCCTTTTACAATCAACCATTCAATCTGAAGGTCAAATGCTGCTGCAAAAATGCCTGCATATAAAGAAACAAAAATAATAAGAAAGTACTTGAATGAGAAACTGTAATATCATTATCATTATTATTATTATTATTATTATTATTATTATTATTATTTGGCAGTTTTACATGTCTGGTGCTCAGTATTAGTAAAAAACACAGAAGTTGGGCGTCTGACCGTAATAAAACCCTGTGCCGTGAAGTCTTTCTTATGTAAAAATATTTAAATATTAAGAATATCTTAGTCATAGCTGGATCTTGTAAAATATTAAAATGTTAGAATACATAAAACAATGTTTCCGTTTTCAGGAGCTGCATCTCGAAATATGGTAAGCCTGAGTAATTGTTGTATTTATATGTAATTTTAAGAAGTCGAGCGCAGTTTATGAAGCTAGTTCATGCATATTAAGATTTGAGACACTGATCTGACCTAGTATGAGGTTTGACATAAGCCTACAGAACTTTAAAAAGCCTTTAGTCGATATTAATTCACCAAAAATAGAAAAAACTTTCCGAAGAATATTTAGTTACAATTTTGGCTGTAGAAAGAAAGCTTTGAACGATTTTCTTGTTGCGAGTTCATCTTTGAAAACAGCAAACACCGGGAAGCCGGCAGCTTAATGGTACTCAAAATGCAGAGCTTATCAAATGCTTTTTAGTTATAAATCCATTAATAAAAAAATAAACACAATAAATTCTTTATCATGTTGAAGTGTAACTCTTTTAAATTCTTTGCAAATATAGTGCGTGTCAAAAGTTAGAACCGGCTGGCCATATAGGTGATTTTGGAAATTTTTTTAAAGGTTTTGCTAAAAGTCCATGTGGTCCAAAATATTGAATGAATGCAATTTGTCTTGAAAAATTGTGAAATACTGCATTTTGTACGAGGTGTGATCTGTATGATAAAAACAGCATCTCATAGTACTCTTTCTCCTCAGACGTGATGTATAAAAAAGTTTAAAAGGTTGGTTTGCACACACCCAGATTTGTTGGCAAGAATTTGTAAAGTAAACTTGTTGAACGCAAAAAATTGGACCTGATTTGTTTTCCACGCCTAATCTACTGTGATCAAGAGCCATTATTGCTCTTTAATGTCCCCAAAGACTATTTTTTTTGGGTCTACATTTAAGGCCATCAACTCGATGCAAGATTTGCTTCACTCTAAAATCACTTAGCCTTTCCCTCAAAAGTCACATGAATGTGCCCTCAAGTTAACTGATTTGTGGAATACAAGTTTATTGTTTGATTTAAATTATAAATTTATTAATGGGAGCTTCGCTTTTAGCCCTGGCTAAATCTATATACAAGTAATAATGAAAATAATGATAATTACCATTATTACAGTCAACTCTCTCTAAGACAGACACCTTTGGGACCGGCACTAAGTGTCCGTCTTAGAGAGGTGTCCGTCTTATAGAGAGTCAAATAAAGGGAGTAAAGAAAGGCAGGGACCAACTCTAAGTGTCCGTTTTACAGAGGTGTCCATCTTATAGAGGTGTCCGTTAAGAGAGAGTTGACTGTATCATCATTATTATTACAATACATTATTGCAATTCACTTTGTAAGATCTGCCCAAGAAAAAATTTTTCAGCCCACATGAATTTATAAGGAATTGAAACAATTTCCAGTACTAATCTATTTAAATTCCCCTCAAAAAACTTAACTTGCTTAGTTAAAAACTGAATTCACTAGCCTGATTGCAAAATCCACTAGGCTAGCCCAGGGTTATCAGACTTGACTTTCTTTCCATGCTGGTATGAACTCGTGAAAAAATTACAATTTCTGGACAAAAGGTGCTGCCTTACTAATGATGAGTGCACCTTTGCAAACTGCACAATAAATTTTAAAAAGGAAAAAAAAAATGACTGACACTTTGTAAACAAACCAATCTAATAGTAATGAAAGAACGAAGACTATAAGTAAGGTAAACTTTTTGCCAACACACAAAAAGCAACAGCCTTACCTTCTCCTTCCATCTCAAAAGCAACTGCCTCGGGATAGAGCTCAGCAAGCTCTTTACGTCGTGACTCATGCCTGACAACCTCTGGGTCACTCAGAACTTCACCAAGATGAACTTTGACTTCTTGAGCTTCAGAGTTTTTCAAAGGTGCCTTCCAGCCATCAGCACAATTCTTAATAACATCACAAAAGCGTCTGTTTACATAGCAGTTTCCACTAGACTGAGTCTGGTGTTCTGTTACCTCTTTGGATCCACATATCCTCAATTTGGATGATACAACAACATCGCCTAACTTGGTTTTTTTGGAGTTGAGGCCACAGCATGTCCCAACAGAAAAAACTGCCTTGGGTCTTAGCACCTTGGCAGCATTTCTCACGGTAATCAAGGAGCCACCAGGACCAATGACACCACTACAACACTTCATCAATGCAACCTTTAATCCTTCTTTTTTACCTTTATCCATATTCTCAAAGTAAACATAACCAAGGTCAGGGAAATACCATCGGAAGGGATCTTTCAGCTGCTGGTAACATGCTAAGAACTCAGAATCCTCAACTGTCAACAAAAGAATGTCAACAGGCAGTTCTGGTTGCCGTGCTTTACGTTGGACATCACTCATGGATGGTAGTTCAGCACAAAGTGGAGGTAAGTCACCACCACTAGCCATGTCTGTTGCTAAAGATTACTGGCAAATAAAGAAAAAGACAAGAAATGAATTTAAGTTGACGGAAGTTTATTAAATGAACAATAATTAATCCAGCTATGATAAGTGACTATCCTATTTCCTTTATCCTTAAAGCCCCAATATTGACAAACAAATTCTGCAGACTGATCTCAAAATAAAAAAGTGTATTTCCTTAAAAATTTAGATGAGAAAATTTGATAGAAGATTGAAGCCTTTTTCCTTAGGCAGGGCTCGAAATTGTGACTGATATGGTCGCCAATGCGACTAACATTTTCTCCTTGGCAATTAAAAATTCTGGTTTAGTCGCCAAAGTGGCGAACAGATTTCTCTATATTTTAGATTTAAATTAAAAGAGTATAGTTAACACAAACATTTCATATTATCTTACTTTGCTTTCATCATAAAAAATGTTCCAAATCGCATAAATAAAGCCAGTTTACCTCCAAATTTATACCGACTTCTATCCATTCTATTTTCAAATCTGATGGATCCTGCCATACTATGCAGGGCTTTTCTAATAGGCCGCAGAAAAAAAGTCAAATTTCACGGGATTTCTAGGCACAAATTCGCGGAATAATTGGCCAATTTCGCAGGAATTTTCAGAGCAAACTTCACGAAAAGCAAACGAGAAAAACGGACAATTTTGTGGTTATTTTCAGGGAAAATTCGCTAGAAATCGATCGGTTTTGTGTTGATCAGACCAGCGTTTTAAATGTTTTTCTAACAGAGGTCATCATTTGCTCTCTCAACAATACGCTCCAGAAATGAACTAATGGCAAAACCTTTAACATCATGGCTGGTGCCCAGTTTTTTGCAACATAATCTACGCCTGGTAGTTTTGGGACGTTGTTTGCACGTTTCAGTGACAAAGTATCAAGATAAATTTGCTGAGATATATTTGATAAGATTTCTACAGAATTTTGCAGTAGTTTGCGTGCTTTTGTGAATTTCGCGGATTTACCTAAATTTCACCGATTCATGACCCCGCAAAATATCACAAGCCCTGAGCTGCGTCATTTACATTACACAAAGTGGTTGCTGAAAATTTGCATCTGGCAACTATATTTCTCCAGTTGGCTGCCAAAAGGCGACCCGAGGCTTTTTTTTATTTCGAGCCCTGTTAGGTGATCATCCTTGTTAATCAAACAAGAAATGGAATGAATTGAATGATTATGCTTCTTTTGCTAATTCCTGGTATTTTGGAGTAATTTCATAGAGGGTATCTATTAGACAGGGGGCATTTATTAGAGAGGAGCATCTAATACATTTTTAACAGTGTAGAAGGGACATTTATTACATAAGACGGGTTTATTACACAGGTTTACAGCATGTTATTAGGAAGTAAGGCCTGTCTGGAAAAGATACTGATGCTTGTGACAGTCTAGCGTGCGGGGAGCAGATGCTTTTTTCAGCTCTTTTTTCACCTGCAACAAGAGCCAAAAAATGTGTCTGCTCCACGCAGGCTAGTAACTGTCAAGCTGCCCATGACACATCCATGACACGGGTGATGAGTAGGTGATGGTTTATCAAATCATAATTATTATTTTAAGTAGAAAACAGTGCGTCCACATTTTCCACAAAAGCTCTTAACAACTGTGCATCATTCTATCAATTAAGTAAGAAAAAAATACAACAAAGAGAATCTGCGATAAAACATGCGCATGGTTGAGTGGCTTTCTGTACAACTCCCTACACATTTTTAGTTTTCAAACTACATGTATCATAAAACCTACATTGTATCTCTCGAGCATCACAGGGATCAGATTTTTTCTTGTCCAGAACAGAAAATTAAATTTGGAGCCCTGTAATGCACAAGGGAAAGATGACAGTTTGAAAAAGTCAAAGTTTATAAGAATTTGTAAGGAAAACCACTCAACTGTGACTGGGTGGCAATAGCTGTTTTTCTCATACAGTGAATCCTTCTAATTTTGGCAGCAGCCAGTTTTAAGATATATGGCTGAAGATTTACAGGTTCTAACATTATGCACTTGTACATGTAGTTTCTGCTAAAATAATTTTTGAAAAAATTATTTTTGTTTTTACAGAAAGTTGATTTCATGTGACCAACTATTGCAAAAGACCTTTTTGCCGTTTGATTTATGTACAAGTCATGTACAATAGTACTTCACATGCACAAAAGATTTCAATACGAAATGCAATGAACTACAATTTTACACATTTTAAATTTATTTTAAAAAAATTACTGCTGTATTTTTCTTGTTAACTTTTTTTACAGTCTAACAATACATATGTACATGCATTTATTACATTGTATTATAAACGTTTTTCCTTCTCAGCTGTACAACTGTGAGCTCCATTTATATTAACCACCCACCCTAGGAAGAAAGCACCTGATTCAAATAGTGTGTAAAATATTGATTTATAATGAAAGCCAAACCTAATTGCCCAATCAAGCAAGTAACTTACACATTTTCAAAAAGCTAAACTGGAAATGATTTCGACTCGGTAATATAATCAGGGCTCAAAGTTAACGACTAACTGGTCGCATATGCAACTGGATTTTTGGTTGTGCGCCTAAAAAATGAAGTGTAATCGCACCTGTGTGCCATAAATTCCAAAGCACAGTGCGACTGACTTGCTTCTCTGCTTCCTAACCTGACCATAGTTACGTACTTGAACTAGTAAGACACTAAACAGCAGCTTCAAGCAATGAAAGTAAAAGTAATGTAGAAATACCACAACCAGGCTCTAAATAATATTAAGTTACAATTGTTTTACTTTCATCTGTGTGAGTTTAATTCGTTCTTTCTCCCAATGGATTCCACAAATTTCATTTTGATGTTTAACTCCATCCCAGACTCTGCTGTTTTGTAATAAACACCGCTGACACATGCAAATATGCTACGAACGAAACACATGCTTTGTGCACAATAAATGATCATGTTGATTGTTCAGTTCTAAGGTCAGTCAAAACAAAATCAGTGCGGATTAAGAGCCTTTTTTCCTTCCAGGTAAGAAAGCTTTTTAGTCATATCTGAGTTACATGTAAGTCATTGCGCATTTAACAAATTCGTTAAAAATTAATTTTCATTCTCATTTGACATACAGCTGTACTCTCATTGTTGTTGTGCATTTTTTTCAAGTGCAAGTTTTCTTGAGTCACAACTGCCATATCAAAAAGAAAAATTAGTATCAAAATACTACATAGCAAATCGGCTGTCTTTTATCAATCGAAGGACTGAAATAATAGTAACAAACTTAAGCTTTTTACTTTTTCTTTTTAAATAAGTGCTCCCAACACTGTAAGCCATGCTCCTAAAATTTTCAGCTGTGCACCGAAAATTTTGGCAGTGTGTCTAAAAATTTTTATCTGGTAGCACAAGTGTTCCCGAACTCAAATTTAAACTTTGAGCCCTGATAATCAGACTATATGTATATTAAGGAACAATAATTAAGATACGATAATAATAATAATAAATAAATCACAACCCTTTTAGCTTATCTTGTAAAATTTTCTGATAACTTTTTCTCACTTTAACTTAGATTGTGAGAGCCTGTTCACTATCAAAAGGGCATTCAAAATGAACTTAACTAAAATTAAAGGTAACTTTACAGTAGTTTCTTACAATGTACTGCCATAACACTGCCTCAGAGAAAAAAATGATGAGCTTCACTATGATTACATGGTGTTTTTTGAGAAAACCAAGCAAGGTGGTCAAATGAAATCAAAACATTTTTTTGAACCCCATGTAGTGTAAACTATTATCTTTTATCAAAGGTAATATTGTTTTTAACAACAATTAGCTCAAAAGTCCAAAAAGTGTGCTTTTGGATCTCTTGTGTCTTAACATGCTCTAACACAGACCCAATGTGGTTCTCTTGGGATAAAACAGCACACAATACACAGTGAAAGGTTTTAACCCAGGAGTCATTTCATAAGTGGATTGAGTATGATCATCCAGGTGAACCTAGTCCTGAATAGAACTGTTGTTGACAGTGATTGAAGTTTTGCAACCTGTGTATAGTCATCTTCAAAGTCAAGTGAGCACAGTATGTGCATATGGAGTCAAAGTGCATTGTGCATGGCAGACTACAAAAGAGAAAAGTCTAATCAGATGAAGCATCTTATGTTAAGTTTTAAAACAGCTGTTTTTCTCAACAAAGTTTGCTTAGAAGCAAAACATTTCTTAGGTAGCAGAGAGTAATACAAGAAATCCGAACATGCATCAAAATAAAGTTAATGCACTGCATGCTAAAGCAAAATCAAGTTACCCGGCATCATCTGACATTAAACCTACTGTTTATACTCTAAACAATGGATCAAAGGCTTTCTACTGTACTAATCTAAAATTCTGGCAAAATTTTCTTTTTGAGTAGATTTATTAAATCCTAATCACTTTAATTTAGGAAAGATTCAGTAATTAAGATGAAATTTACTGAGCTAGCTGTTAGTATAACATAAATACATGTTTACGTATGGCTACAAATAGAGAAAATTGTCCTTGCCACAAAGCATTTCATACAGACAGTCAATCTTACACCCATCCTTAATGTACAGTGTGTATGTCAACTGTGTATACTGGCAAGATACCAAAACTGTGATTATTGATTTGTCAACTGTTTAGGGTACATTTGAGCTAATGTGGTCTGAAGTACTGCAGGTTAAAGACATTTAAGGGCTCTGGTCTAGAATATTCACAGTAAAGAATTTTTGAGAAATTGATGTGTGGTTTTACATGTAAAAACAATTATTGAATATTAATTAAAATTTCTGGTAAATAATGGTTGTAGTAAAGGGAAGTGATTTTTGAAACCCGGTGAAGAATAAAGTTTTAAATTGCAGTTGGAATGGTCTGATACAGTCTAAGGGTTCTAGGGTCTGTATCAACAAATATCCAACAAAAAGGTAGAGTACATGCACTCTTGCCTTGGGTTTTTACTTGGAGTAAACATTTTTCCTTATATGCATGGCATGTTCAGACAATGAAAATCTACATATATATAACCCTGATTTCTTGAATTTATTTAAGTTAACATTAGTT